GGTCTGTACTGGTTGAACCTTGTGACATCTTTTTCAAAATTGTTCTCAAACAGAACAAGTGTCCAGAGGACTGAAGATTTCTGATATATCGCAAATCACCTTATTTCATCCTAGGAGGAAAAAAATAATTATATCTACGATATGAGCCACATTTTAGATATAATACCCAATTATCCGTTTCATTTTCATTTATACATGCTGGGTGAGATCATTTATCATGTTTCACGAGAATGTCCAGGAAGCACACAGAGACAATTTGGGGAGGTAGCAAATTACTCACCATATTAACATAAGCTTATAAGATCACATCAACAAGTACTGTGCATAAATGAGATAATTACATTTACAATGAGCAGAAATGTTTGAGATGCAGAAATAATGGTCTCCTAATTGAACAGTCTGGTTTGCTTTCTTAAGTATAGTAATTTAGATCCAGTAATCAAGAATTACTGTGCTGCTGGAACACCAGCCAGGTGTCAGTGCACAGCTCTGAATCTGGAAATGAATCTTTTATCATCAAGGCTTCCGTCTTGCCACCAAGTCATCCATCATGTTTCTGAGACAGCTTGGAATGATAGTGCTGGACCTTCACATTACTGCTCCTTGAACTCCATCTCATCCATGCCTGATTTGCAGCAAAGTATCATCTCCCTGCTGCAAAACCAGGTATGAACCCAATCATGCCTCTAACCTAGAGTGCCACTCTAATAGTAATTGATTTTTTAGTGCTACACTCAGAACTTGGAAATCCCATCTTTGGGAATTCATAAAGGCAGATGATTAAAAAAAATGAAATTGCTTCAGAGAACTCAAATCTATTTATTTATTTGCTTCTCTTCTTTAAATATAAATGTCACTGGTGTTTGTTTTGATGTTAGTCCCAGATATGCCCACATATGGAAAATTGCAAATATTCTGTTTGCATAGACACACAGTATTATTTTAGGGACTCTTCAAATTAAATAAAATACCTGTAGACATTTAAATTAATATATTTAATATGTATTCACCCTGTGCACCAAAAGTGGAACTTATTATTAACCCCTAGTTCATCATTCAAGTAAAGTCTGTTTCAAAATCCCAACCGACAATAAACCATTCAAGATTAAGTATAGTAATTCAGTTTCATCTGAATACAGCTATAAAAATTTAATAAATCAAAATGATCAAAATGCCCCAGTGGCAGATTGGAATTCTGTTTCCAATTCAAATTCTCTTTAATACATGGCTTCACTGACATCTTGCATTTTTTTTCATATCTAGGCTGAATTCCAAATGTCTTCTGCTTTCTGCTGTTACCAAGCATTGGGCAACCAATCTTATCATCCAATCTCTTCTCAGCAATCCAGGACAATCTTTGAGAGATGTCAGACTTGGAAGATTTTTCTCTTGTACTCATCAGTGAATGGCAGACAAGAATCAAATATTATGAAAACCTCCCTTCTGAACTCATTAGAACAGAATATTCTGATTCTATATTTCTGCCCAAGGATTTCTTTTTATACAATATTAACAAAAGAAAAGTCTTTGAAGGGCTAATTAAGAACTGCATCCTATTTTGAGATAAATCCGGGATTTCTGTTTTAAAACATAAGATTCTTTTCATGAAAGCCTTCAACAAGGACATATGTATTTTAGATTTTAAAATAATAGCCGGAATGATGAACTCAAAAATATGTCTAATATCAGGTCACTGTGGGTGACAAACCTCTTTCTGCAGTTGATTAAATGTGCAGAGATATCAGGATCCAAACTTTAACTCTAGAAAAGACAAGAAACTGAGCCTGAGATAATAATTGTGAGAATTATTAAAGTAACCTCTCTATTTTGGGAATTATTTTTGTGACCAAACAATAAGATAGAATTGAGTGGAAATAGTTTTATTATTAATATCTGTCCCAGATGTTTCTGTCACTGCTGTGAATAACAGAATAACAGAGTTGGAAGAGACTTTGGAGATCTTCTACTCCAATCCTGCTCAGGCAAGAAACCCTATACCATTTCAGACTAATGGTTGTCCAATCAGGTGCTTTGGAGAATAGCTTGACTCCCTCTTCTTTGTGGTAACCCCTGAGATATTGGAACACTGCTATCATGTCACCCCTAGTCCTTCTCTTCATTAAACTAGACCAGTGGTTCTCAACCTTTCTAATGCCACGACCCCATAATACAGTTCCCCATGTTGTGGTAACCCCCAACCACTTATACATCACCAGGTGCCAGGGGCGTGGCCTTGTTTGTCGACCCCCATGAAATGGTCGTTCGACCTTAAATGGGGTCCCGACCCACAGGTTGAGAACCACTGAACTAGACATACCCGATTCCAGCAACTGTTATTTATATGATTTAGCCTCCAGTCCCCTAATCATCTTTGTTGCTCTTCTCTGCACTCTTTTTAGAGTCTCAATATCTTTTTCCATTGTGGCACCCAAAACTGGATGCAGTATTCCCAGTGTGGCCTTACCAGGGCATTATAAATTGGTACTAACACTTCACATAATCTTGATTCTATATCCTCTGTTAATGCAACCTAGACCTGTGTTGGCTTTTTTGGCAGCTGCAGCATACTGCTGGCTCATATTTAAGTGATTGTTCATTAGGACTCCAAGATCCCTCTCAGAGTTACAACTATTGAGCCAGGTACAACTTATAGAATAATTACTAGTGTATCTGCTACTATCACAGAGCATTTTGGAAGAAGACCATCCATCTTTTGATAATTTAGAAATGTGTTTACTATGATACATTGTGAATATTGTAATTAGAGAAAGTAGACCCAGACTCATAGATCTGAATTAGATATATATAATTGTTTTTAGAGTCTGTCTTTTGATACTTGACTAAATAACAAGAGTGACAGATAAAGAACAGGAACACTTAATGGAAAACATCTCCTTAAGTACATAAATAAAACACAAATTTGATTTTATATTTTTGTCTTTTTTATGAACTTGTGAATAATTTAATTATTCATACGGTATAATATTGGATGTTTTCTTCACAAATGTTAGAAATAACACTGCCTCTATTCCTCATCATTTCCATGGTTTTCCAAAAACATCAACATCTGTTACTAAAAGCTGTAGGATTAATTTTAAAATGCACACTGATTTTATTTTAAAATTAGTCTTATAAAAATAGTGCTTAAAATGTAATGAAAAACATGAAAAAATAAAAATATGTAAATAAGTAAAGAAATATTATTTTTTTTTCAATCATGAGTTTTATTAATAAGAAAAAAAATTATCTTGAGGAAAAGGTGGTGCCTGACATCGGTTCATCAATACTCAAGAATTTAATCCACAATTTGTACCATTGTTACCACTGTTTTATTGACATAGAACATTTTTAGGAAACATATCAGAGAGAGCCAACATGCAGTAGTGATTAATGGCTGGGACTACAAGGGGGAGGCCCAGTGTCTAGGTCGCCATCAACCACGGAATGGGGCTCACTGAATGACTTTGGGCCAGTCACTCTTTCTTAGCTTATCCTACTTCAACAATAGCCTATCCTTAATATTGTAAGAATGAAATTAATGGAGATCCTCATATAAACTCCTTTGAGTTCCAGGAGTTATCGCAGGCTATAAATTGAACCAATCAATCAGTTCAACTGTGAAGATGCAATTTCCTACAGCTTTTGACAACTTTGTGAAAAAAAATTAAAAGGACATAATTTAATGTGTACTGTTGTACATGAAACTAAGGTTTGATTTTTACTCCACCATGTTCTGATGGACTTCACTTCTTAAGAGCTACTACTGAAATGGACAATAGCAAGAAACATACATTATATATAAATTTGCCACCTTTGTTTCCTGACACTTATAATTTCTCAGTTATACATGTAAAAATATATACTGATTTTTTTTTATAAAAATATATAAACTGATTTTTCTTTCAAATATGTCTTTTCATTCTAATATTTTACCCTGTTCATTTTCTATCTTTCTGCTGGCTTCCAAATATTAAGTAGTAAGTAAACCATATATTTTGAACATTTATTCCTGGCAATAGGACAGAGCCAATTTTAATCTAGTTTATCAGCAGCCGGTCTTATTCATCTCACATTCATTAAAGCCTAGAAGTGTCAAGATTTGTCTTCTGCAAGTTGAAGATAGTCTCATTAGTCAAAATGATATAGAAGCAATACTCAAGACATGACAAAATAAATTGTATTTCATCGTATCATCAATTTTTTTCCCCCTACAGTTGAGGGATCACATAGATCAAGATTCGTCAGTATGTGAATTTAGCACTGAAATTTTTGTTTGTTCCAAATAGCAGTAGAAAGTCCTTAAGCGTGCCCTGTCACTTTGGGTTTAGAAAGGAATGCACTAATAAACTCTTACCCCCGGTCATTTTTTACTATGGGCAATACTATGCCAGCTTTTATTAAAGGCAATTCATATCACTGGCCCAAAAATTTCCTTTAAAATTACCATCTTTTGTGCCCATGGAACACGACATTGGCGTTAAAGTGCAATTAAGATATAGGCCCTGTCACTGTACTTAATTTTCAGCACAGTTTTAACACTGGAGAAGCTTTCTCCCCGGGATATGTTTTTGACTAATGAGGCTTGTTTGATGGTTAACGAAACAAACAAGAAAACACTTTTACTAGGTATTGCTTTTGAATATAGTAAGCCTCACACTCTACATCCTCTGGCTATGAACTCATACTCCCAGGATTTTAGAGGCAGAATTTAAAATAAAGGGTACATGTAGCAATTATTTTCCATTGATTTTTATCTACAACCCAATGTAAGAATCATCTATATAACTGTGAGGTTTATAATAGCATGATTTACTACTCCACCCTCTCCATGAAAGCTTATTGGTTGTCTTTGGGTTCATTGCTCTGTCTCAGCCCAACCTATTTTAGAGGGTTGGCTGTGGAGAAAAAAATGAGAGGAGTTCCTTTGAGCTTCTGATGGAATATAAATTAATGGTAAAAATATAAAGGGCTCATGTCAGAGAAATCTAAGAAACCCTTACCTCGAACAATAAGTTGAGCAAAGTTGGAAACTCCAGATCCTCTCTCAGACTGAGTAACACAGCGATATAAATCCTGATCTGTTTTTGTTACTTCCTGAAGTTTAAAGGTAGCAGCAAAACGTCTGTGATTTATGTTTTTTGTTTGGGCCACTGGAATATCTTCTCCATTGCGTCTCTGAAAACAATAAAACTCAATGTTAAAAAGGCTGGATGATGTTGACATCATATACAGTATCTGCTCAGAACAGCTAAAATACTAAAAGAAAAATGACTCTATAGTTAATTCCATTCATCAAAATATAGCTTCACAATGTTTATAAAAAAACACCTCATGAGCTTCTATTATATTTGTTTACCTCTGTCATTTTAAAATATGCCTTTTCTAAGAGTGATAAGCATTAAACACCATATAAATAACTGCACTTTAATCATTTTCAGTTCCAGATTGCTATGAATGTCAACATAAATGAGTGAAAGTAAATATTTTCCTAAAAGAGTAGTGATTGGGGATGTGAGTGTGGTGTTGTACATAAACAATTAACATACTTCTCCCCTGTTCAGAATTTGGAATTTCACACCTAGTAAGACTAACACAATGTTGTTGTTTTTTAAAGAATAGCAGAATTATTGTAGGAAAGAAAATTGGGTTGCTACAGAATGGAAATTTATCTTGGTGCATTTGGCGAACAGCAGAACAGCCAGAATACCAAAAATTCCCTTCAGAAAGGCCAGAAAAAGTCATGGGTTCTGAACATCAGTTCTGAACATTCAGTTCTGGATTATTTCCTTTATGTGGATCAGTATTCTTTATAGTTTTGAAGACCTCCAGTGTCGTGTTTTGGGCATCCTGGCATATGCCCTTCTTGATAGCATCCATGCTGACTCCAAATTAAATGAAAATGTTTGTATTGATCTGTATTGAAATTATTGTAACAATAAAACAAAAATGATATTTAAGTTCAGCAAGTCTCAAAAGATGCCAGTGTTTCTTTCTGAAATTTCAAAAGATTTGGGCAATAATATCAAATCGTTTGGGCTATAATGATAAAAATATTATCTTTATCTATATCTATTATATTAATGCAAACTAATAAAACACAGAGAGTAAAGTGAAAAGAAAGAGTAAAATGTGCAAATAAAAAATAAGAAAAAGGAAAGAGTGGAATAACAAAAAAGAAAAGAAACATATAAAGAAGTAATTTCCAATAATTATCACAATAAACAAATCTTATAGATGTTCACCATCTATAAGGTTACAAACAGATACCACTTCTTATAAATTTATAAGGGTTGTCAGAATTTCATACTGAGACTATTAATTTCTAGCTCCATTCTTTGAAAGTCTCAAGCACTATAGTGTTTTTGTCATTTTTGTAAATCTTAATCTGAGTCACAATAAAAGGTAATTCTTTTTTTCTGTTTTTCCAATGTCCAATTTAACTCATATCGTCTCTAATCTCTGTTATGATTTACAGCAAACAAAAAAGTTCTAATCCCCACAAAAAGCTGTTTATTTGAATTAGCTGTTCCAAAACCTTATACTAAAAGTTTCAATATCCCAAATTTGTCTGGTTCCTTGATTCATTTATAGTTTTACTGGTTCAAACATTCATTTATCTTTTTTTCCATGTATTTCAAATTCTTTAAATTCTTAAGTTTACAGTTTCATTATGTTCAGAAATAAAGTTAGACTCAACAGGTGGCTTTTAAAACTTGTTATACTGAAGATTTTTAATAGCCCTAAGAGTTAAATAGGCAAGTTCTGAGCATGACTAGAAGGAGATTAGTGTCCTTTAAAAAGTTCTGCTGCAGTTATGAGCTTGATGATCAATTTTTCTCCTGGCACTGAAACCTATGGGAGACCACTGTCTCCTGATGCAGAACAGCCATCTGGAGCACAGGTGGGCCATCTCCCATCTGGAGCACAGGTGGGCAATCCCCCTTATCCAGAAAGGTTTTGAAGAATCAGTCTATTCATTGTTCTTCAGTTTTGACATAGTTATTGTCTCCATTGTCCATGGAGAGGTGTTTAGCTTGTATTGCTACCAGAAACTGAATTGCAATAATATCAAAATCTTATAAAATTTCCAATGGGACTGCCGCAGATGACAAAATTATGTTTCAGTCCATCTCTTTACGGGTGCTTATGACTGGGGAGGATGCTATAGTTTGAAAGTATTTGTGTGGACAGCTTCTGGAAGGCAAATCACTTCTGTTTCCACTTTTAAACCCACAGAAATTCCCCAAATGTGATGAAATTGCACTACCATAATGTAATCATTTTGGTGTCAACCTGCAACAGTCTGCAGTTTTCCTAGTCTTGTCTTACATGATAACATACATAATGGCTTATTATTGTATTGTGGGTTTCCTTTATTCTTCACTGACAACTACTGCAAGGCAACTTGGAAAACCAATGTTATCATGACATAAAAAATTGTATTGTGAATAGAGAGAAGGAAATGAGGGACTGCTAATGTTAGGACGCCTAGATTTGTTACATTACTTAAGCCTGGAAGTCAAAAACTCTGGTCCTGGTGACCAACCCAGATTGGATCCTGCAACATTATCCTAGGACACATATATAGTATTTGCCTTCATTCGTGACATTACTTATAGTTTGATGAAAACAGCAAACTAGAATAAGGTAATTTTTAAAATACAGATAAAAAAATCCAGTCATAAGGATCAGAAGATTGTAAGAGTGACTAAAAGCAAATTAGAGATATATTTCCCATCAGCATGATTATTCTGCTGGCCAGAGGAATATCAAGAAAAGCCTTTTCTACCATAGGGGTTATTGAGGTGGGGGGAATCATTTATAGAAAATTTTATTTATGGAGAAATATCAGAAATGACTTCTAAGGCAGAGAAATCTGAGAAAATCAATACTTAACTAGGAATAAGAAATAGTTGTATATTCAGATACACTCTAAAAGCATTAATTATAAATATGTCAAACATTACTATCACTTGCACCATCTTTATCCCAAGATATTAATGAACAAGGGACAGTATTAAACCAACTCAAACTATAGGAAATGCTAGTTTGTTCCGATAATGGTACATGGTTCACGTCAGGATGGAAAGAAAGTTAATGTACAAGTCAAATGTTAGCTATTATCTATAACTTAAAATGTAATTGATTGATTGATTGATTGATTGATGACTGGTGTGTTTCAAGCTTACAGCTTAAAAGTGGGAAAGGAGAACCCCATGTTATTAAACCAGAGCCAATAACCTGCATGTGGCTAGTCAGTTTCATGGAAACTAACAACTACCATAGTGGTTTATCAGTGGAACAAGAATGGAATCATAACACATTATGTTTAACCAATGATTTATTTTATGGCCTTGTAATCAGTGATGAAGTGGCTAGTAAATTTCCCTAAGCCTTACTGAAAGAGTCAAATGTTAGTAGCATTTAGGCATCCTCAGAGAACATATACATTGCTTATGTGGCTTATAGAGGAGTTGCAAATGAAACAGCCAGGGGAAATGATTGTATTTTTTTCATGAAAGAGACGCTCTCTTCTAAACTAAATGACAGAAATGGCTTCACAAGATAGAATACAGAGTGACAGGAAGAATTTAATCTAGGCACTCAAATGCTCAAAACTGAATTTCTGGAAACACCTCAAGAAAACTAAAATAAAGAATAAAATTGCAGCATTGGTATCCAGTGCTAATTCAATATGGCACATGAAAGACGTTATACTATTGTGAGTTTACAAAAACTATTGTATATAACCATGGTGGCTAACCTATGGCACGCGTGCCACAGATGGCATGCAGAACCCTCTCTGTGGGCACGCACACCGTCGCCCCAGTCCTAGGCTTTCAGCTGGGTTTTATAAAAACTTTTTGCTTTAGATCTCCACCGCCGTGTGCAAAAAAAAAAAAAGGTTCAATCAATCAATTTCAACTTCTCACAGAAAAAAAAAGATCTCGCAAAGTTGGAATTGATTGATTGAACTTTTTAGTCCCACCCAGTCTGCTGTTACCACTGCAGCCACACCCACCCAATAGGCCATGCTCACCCAATGGGCCATGCCCACCCAATGAGCCATGCCCACCCAGCCCCTGATGATACATAAGTGGATTTTGTGTTGCAGTCTGGGCACTCGGTCTCTAAAAGGTTCGCCATCACTGGTATATAACAATATACATTTTTCTTTGCTATACAAGTAGCCCTCAATTTATGGCCACAATTGAGCCCAAAACATATATTGCTAAGTAAGACATTTGTTAAGTGAGATTTGCCTCGTTTTACAATTTTTCTTACACTGTTGTTAAGTGAATCATTGCAGTTGTTAAGTTAGTAATCTGTTTGTTACGTGAATCTGGCATCTCCCCCAGTGGTTTTGCTCATCAGAAGGTAGCAAAAGTTTATCACGTGACCCTGGGACACAGCAACCATCATAAATATGAACCAGTTGCCAAGAATCTGAATTTTGATCACATGACTGTGGAGATACTGCAATAATCGTAACTGAAAAATGGTCATAAGTCACTTTTTTCAGTGCTGTTATAACTTTGAAGAGTCACTAAATGAACGGTTGCAAGTTGAGGACTACATATACTGAGCTGCAATCTCTATGTGTACAATTTTTAAGGCAATGAATGACTTCCAGTACTAATGTGAAAATAAAACACTAAAAGTATCTATTTGGTTATTTTATAAAACTAATTATTCTTGTTCTTTGAAAATATTCTCTTCATTTATCCAATAACATGAGGAGGGAAACTACAGTAGAGGAGTAATGAAAAAGTTCTAGAGAATTGCACTGAAAGCTTTCTCTTAAGTTTCTCTTAATTTTCTTCAATTATGTGATAGTTAACATTCAATTTGATGGAAAAGAACAGGCATTCAAGGGAGATTTCCAGAAAAAACAAGGGTTTTGATGAAATTTCCTGAATCTCATTGAAGGATCTTGTCCTGAATTCTGAAGCCACCCTGGTGTGCATAACTATCCCTGCTTTCATCACCCAATCTTCTCTCCTCTGAATCAATATGTAGTAGCCAGTTTTCATGCCTTGGTTAAATTCTAAGGCAATGTTTCTCAACCTTGACAATTTTAAGGCATGTGGACTTCAATTCCCAGAATTCCACAGCCAGCATTGCTGGCTGTGGAATTCTGGGAGTTGAAGTCCACATGCCTTAAAATTGTCAAG